GTGTGGTGGTGTGTGCTCGGTGTGTGTTGTGTGGTGGGTGGTTTGTTGGTGTGGTGTGTGTGTGTGTGTGTGGTGTGTGTGTGTGTGTGGTGTGTGTGTGTGTGTGTGTGTGTCGTGTGATGTGGTGTGGTGGTGTGGTGTGTGTGTGGTTTGTGTGTGTGTGTGTGTGTTGTGTGGTGTGTGTTGTGTGTGTAGTGTGTGTGTGTGTTGTGTGTGTGTGTGGTGTGTGGTGTTGTGTGTGTGTGATGTGTGTGTGTGTGTGTGGTGTGTTTGTGTGTTTGTGTGTGTCGTGTGTGTGTGGCTGTGTTGTGTGTGGTGTGTGTGTGTGTGTTTGTGGTGTGTGTGTTGGTGTGTGTGTGTGTGTGTTGTGCTGTGGGTGTTGTGTGTGTGTCGTGTGTGTTGTGTGTGTGTTGTGTTGTGGTGTTGTGTGTGGTTTTGTGTTGATGTGTGTGTGTGTGTGTGTGGTGTGTGTGTTGTGTGTGTGTGTGTTGTGTGTGTTGTGTGTGTGGTGGTGTGTTGTGTGTGTGTGTGTTGTGGTGTGTGTGTGTGTGTGGTGTGTGTGTGTGTGTGTGTGTGTGTGTGTGTGTGTCTGTGTGTGTGTGTGTGTTTTTGTGTGTTGTGTGTGGTGTGTGGTGTGTCTGTGTGTGTGTATACGCTGGTTCTAAATCATTGCGTTAAGTTGTGAAAAACGTTGGCAGCATTCACTATTCAATCGTTCGGGGCCTAAAAGGTGAAGTCAAGTTACGTTGTAACCTTCTTGACAACCACGAACGCCTCTTTTAAACATTTTGTGGCCGAACTGATGTTTGAGAACGCACTGAAATTTTCGTGTTCCGTCGCCCATCCGTCTTTTTTTTAATCTCACGCAAACTCGCCGGGGGCGGAAATCCTTGCGCCCTTAGTAAATAAGCCGATTTGTGGTCCAGCGGAACCGATTTGTGGTCCAGGGGACCCAGATTTCGTCAACGCATACTCTCAGGCTGCGCGGAGCCGCCTAACGCCGGGCCGTGTCGGCGGCGATTTGGTGCCCGCCCACCCTCATCCTGGCGGGCCGGCCGGCACGCACCCTGGATCTGGTGGTCGACCCGCCCACCCTCATCCTGGCGGGCCGGCCGGCACGCACCCTGGATCGGGTGGTCGAGGTCTGGCCGGCGACGCTGGTAGACTGGACACCGACCCTGGTGCCTTTTCGCCGCCCGCCGGGGAACGCACAGGAATTGTGGAGAACCGGCAACTTTCTGCACCACGATTCCAATTGGAACCCAGAGAAGCTCATTTTATTGCTAAGCACCAGACAAGTTACCTTGATAGTCTCGATCGCGTGTCCGGGATTGCGGAATTTCCATCGTATTTTCCGAGGTTAGTTAGCGCCAATACCTTTTAATCGCGTTCTACAACAACCGTCATCGTGCTCGCGATTCTTTTAGATATCGCTTCATCCAGGGACCGGATGGAAAGCACCAGTAGCTGCGGTGGCTGCCAAGAAACTGGCAGTTTCCTGCGAACGTCTCGGCGCGTATTCCCCAGAAAGACCGTTTCCACCGCCGCGCCAACATCCGGTGTGACCATCTGAGATACACGCCGCGTACCTAGCAACAGCTCTTTGTCTGCGACGGCCAGATGGCCGGCACGCCAGCCCGGATCCCAGATAGAGCGGGGGGGGGGGGGGGGAGTGGGGTCCTTCGATGATATCCCGGCAGGGTGAGGCCGTATAGAAAGGCTCGATCGTTGAAGATGACTCCCCCGCAGTGAGGATGAAAGAGAACACTTCAGAAAATGGGGGTCGCCCACCAGAGGCCGATCGTTTCTAGTCATCACCGTGGGGCAAATAATACATATCTGGGGTAATTCGGTTCCAGGGATCATGACTCCTCTCCGCTCGTCCCCTCTCAATTCCGGTCCATCTGGCCTGTGGTGTATGGGCGCCTGCTATGCAGCGCCGCTCGAACCCATAGAACAAGAAGTGCAATTAATGGCTTCCCGTGCCGCTGGAGAAAAGATATCCGACTTCACATTATCACCAGGCATCGAACACACCGCAACGTGTGAATGTTTGCTGTGGCGTTGCCGCCCGAACACCGGGTACCTGACCGTTTTGTGTGACAGGTGTTACGCTCAAAATGCCGAATAGGACCAGACTTGATCTTAAAGGAAGATGATAAAGAGCCGTAATCCAATATGAAGCAAAACGAAAGGCAACAAAAACGAATGTGCGGGGACGGAGTGGACGCTGGGAGAAGGAGCAGCGTCTAGCACTGGTGGCCAGCTGCTTCCCACCGGTTTCCCTCGAGCGCTGGCGCGGCGTGCCCTTCTACAGGGGCAGGCCGCCACCAACACACATCTGGAGGCCAGACGCCGGTCGAGCCGACGCCGGTCTGGTATGGCTTGTTTTGAGCCGCCGGCTTGTTATTACATCCCTGGAGATATATGCCGAGGAGAAGTGTATATGAAAATGGCAGTTACAGAATGGGTCCTGGGATATGGTAGTTCTCAGGGAGATCTGTATCGAAAACAGAAAATGCGGACAAATTAACAGTCCATGGTATATCTCAACGTCTCAGCAATGCACTCTATTGTATGCTTATATATTTGTCTCCTTTCTATTTAAGGCTGAATCTTCACCTTAATTGGTGATTCCTGACCAATTTTACATGCCTTTTCTGTTATCTGTTTCTTTCACGCTCGTAGGAATGTTGTATGTTTGCCCCGTTTGTTCGCTTCGAGCCGACCCAGTCGCCGACGACGACCCGGCTCGACCGACGCCAGTCTGGCCTCCAGCTGTTTTGGGGTCACGGCCTGCCCCTGCCAAAGGGTACGCCGTGTCAGTACTCGACAGAAACCGCCAGGAAGCAGTCTTGACTCGCCTCGTCACCCGTCCAGACCGCTGCCCCACCCTCAGCAACCGCTTCGTTCCCCGTGTTCATTCACGTTAGTTTTTGTTTCATCCGTTTTCGTGAACCGTTTTTCATCACATTCCCATTGGCAGTAAAACATTTCAACTAGTTAGTACCGAGAAGTGCTTTCGGCCTTTGTCGGCGAAAAACGGTTATCCGCTGATGCCCCCGGGGTATTTGTAATGGATTGACCTGACAAGAAAGCCATAGTTTTTTGGTTGTTTGCTTGGTGCAGTTGTCCCAGCGTGCGCTCTACTCAGCAAGGCAGACATAATGATTGCATCACCAGCCTAGAGGCGGTCAAGCTTATGGACAATAGCCAAAGCGCTCCACGCCGGCCTGGGACAGTATGCGCGGGCACCCTGAAATTGCAAAGCGCTCCACGCCGGCCTCGGATAGCTTGCAGCGGCAGCTGCAGTGGGCACTCTGGGATTAAAAGTGCGATGAACGGCGGCTGGTGTATGACTCGGAATTCCGTGTACTTCTCCTTTAGAAGATCACCCCCTGAGGAAGGGCTTAATCTGAAAGGTTCGCGGTATGACAGCCACTCCCGGGGAGTTTGCATTACAAGGCTGGCGTCGCTAAGAGACGCACCTGATTTAGCATGCTGCGGGAAATAAGCACGCACAATATGCTCACTCGTTCAGGAGGGTGTCCCTGTGTGTTTGCTCTCTCCGCCTGTGTGGCAGCTCCCAGATAGCAGTTGTGGAGAGCGAGCCGTCACCGGGCTGTCAGGGTATTCGAAAGGTGTTCGATCTGCATATTCCCATCGCGTCCCTTCAAACCCAACAGGCCACCCGTGATACAGCTCTACTTGGCTGACAACTCTTAAGAAATGTTGCTTAAGCCCGTGATGCTAACTTTTCAGCGCCTTGGTACGTATTTGGACACGAGTTCTAAGGAGTCAATTAAAAGTCTGTTACGAACATGCAGGAGCCGGTACTGGTGGATTTGCCTTTCAACAGGCCGGCCCCACGGTCTGCATCAGTCACTGCCTCTGATTAACATCGTGAAGATGGTTAGTTCATTTGATGTGCTAAACTACTGAGCATCAATAATTCAGCCGGTGATGGTGATTGATGATTTTTCCAACTGGCGTTAACGGGAAACACGATCATTGAACCCATAGCGCCGGTCCGCCCGGTAGCGCGGTTGTTGAGACACTGCGTTTCTCGAGGTCCGGCAAGAGAGACCCGTAGACCGGCACATCAGTAACACCGTGACGAAAGCAGCACGCTTTCCCCGGAACATGGGTTAGTGCCGTAATGGCGCGCATTTTATGCTGTGCTGGCCTCCCTGGGGCATTGTTGGCATTAGTTCTGTAAGCAAAAAGCTTAACTGGCCCTACACACGTCGGATGACGTTGGTGGTGGCAGCGTGCCAGAGGCGCTGTAGCAGCCCGCGGCCGCCATACCAGCGAGGGGATGCAGGGCTCGGCCGAGGCGCTCGTTGGTGGGAACACAGCGGCGGATGAGCCTCGGGCTGGACATGGTGGGTGGGTTCGTGGAGTCAGCCGCTAGCTCATTTGGTTAGAGCGGTTGTCTGCGGATTCGTCCATCCGTGGTGGGATGGGTTCGGGTCATTTTACTGGCTCACCTCGGACTGGGTCGGCCCGCGGCAGGTGACATCGTCCGCGCTAAAGGTCAGGTGACGCCAAAAGATGCAGCAAGGGGTACCGAGCAGGGCGGTACATTAAATGTTGGCCGCGAAATTCTTCCGTTGACCAGGAATCTGGTGATCAGATGGTGGCGACGGGACTCACAACAACAGCTGCTGAGCGTGGACCGTGACACCAGAAATCCATCCAGTTAAAAAGTTCAAACTATTCTTGTTTACTTTAAAAAGTGCATGCCTTAGAGCTTCAGCAACCCGCCGCCGAACTCGTCTTTGTGTGAGTAAGGCGCATTTATTGATCAGCTCTATGAACTGTGTGTTTTGTAGTTCTGGTTTCCAATTCCTTGGGCGACTTGCTTTGGACTAAACGTTCTGGTGTCTCTCCCACTGCCAGGCTGAGACCGTGGCTGCGACCTTTCCCAGGCCTTGGGGCTGTGTGCTCTGGCGCATGTCCTGTTTCCCCAGCTGAGGTGGACCGTCTGTTTTTCCCAGGGCCGTGTGGACCCCAGGACCAAGAAGCTGAAGCACTTCAGCAAGCGCTCTGCCGAGAACGCCTTCAAGAGCATAGTAAAGACGCACGAGAAGTACGGCTGGGTGACGCCACCGCTAACGGACGGCTGAGCCCGGCCTGGCTCAGTTAGGGGTGGCCCGGTCTGACGACCTCGGCGCTGGCTCGCACTACGACTGTCACTGTGACCGACTGCGACTGAGAACGTGACCCAAACGTCACTGCGACTGTAGCTGTGCCTGCGACCGTAGTCGGCTGACTGTAACTATAACTGGGACTGGAACTGGGACTGAAATGACTGAATGACTGTGACTGTGCTCGTGACTACCACTGTGACCGTCACTACGCGTGGCGCCGTGTCGTCCGCCACCGTCACGGCCGTCACGCCTGCTACAGCGGACGCCACCGCGCCCGTGACGGTGACGGCCCGCACGACCGAAGCCGTGACTCTACCGTGCCCGTGACGACGGCCGTGCTCGCCGGACCGGCCTGAGCTCGGCCCGGCCGCGCAGTAGGACGTTGTGCTCAATCTGCTCGGGCCCGCCACAGCTGGCAACTGCGACGTGCGCCGGCGGCCCGCGCCGCTCCTGCTCCGCAGCTGCTGAGCGGCTGCTCAGCTGTCAGCTGTCAGCTGGCGCGCGCGCCGTGCTCGCGCTGCGTCACGCGACCGCCGCCCCTGACGCCGTTGCTGAACGGGGACGGACCAATGACCTCTAGGTGGTGAATCAGTGTCACGCGCGCTGCTGCCCTCCGCGGAAGCTTCCAATCACGTGGGCGACCGTCTCTGTGTGACTCAGTGGGTGTCGGTTGTAGTTCACTGTTGTGCGGACGTCGGGCCTGGCTCTGATCGCGGAGCGCGGCGCAGGTTGGCCGTGGTCGCCCCACTTCCTGAGCAGAACTGAGCTGAGCTGCACTGAGCTGAGCTGAGCTGAGCTGCACGGAGCTGAGCTGAGCTGAGCTGAGCTGAGCTGAGCTGAGCCGAGCCGAGACGAGACGAGCCGAGCCGAGCCGAGCTGAGCTGAGATGAGCTGAGCTGAGCTGAGCTGGGCTAAACTGAGCTGAGTTGAACTGAGCTGGGTTCAGCTGGGCAGGTCGCTGGTCACAGTCTCGCGGGCGGCAGGATCAAGTGGTTGTCAGTTTTGTCGATGACACCAGCGGCCTATCAGCTGATATTGGCGCCAACGCCCTACGCCTTCAGCAAAGGTTGCAGAATTGTTTGCGCTTTGCACGACCGGGTGTTTAACAAAATTTCGTCGCGAATGTTTGAATATCTGCCAGAGGACGACGTTGACACCACTAAGTTCGCTCCATGGTCAGGAGATATGTGCCAGTTTTATGAACAGGGACGGGGACTGGATTGTGCGCTGGAGCGATTCCATGTGCGAGGCAGAAGAAAATCATAACGAACCATTCGAAACCCTTGAAAACAATCTGGATGATGGCCAACTTGCTGGTAATCGAACCCATCCTTGTAACCGTGCGTAGCCGCCATTTTAACCCCTCTAGCCGGTGCTGCAGGCTGGTTGTTGCGACGTAAAATTGTGTGTAGGTAGAAATGTTCCGTGGTTATTTCTGCAGGGCCCTGTAAGCAGATTGTCGTTGTGTTCCTCGGGCAAGCCAGAAGCGGCACTGGTTTCCGCTTCGCCTCTGCTTTAGATTTCCGACACATGTCACCGGGTTTGTATTTGTCCTTGCGCTCGCTGGTGCCTGGATATTACATTGGGGTCCCCGCGTTGCACCCCGACATAGCAGTCTGTATTGTCCCTGCTCGGGCGATGCGACTTAGTCGTGTAAATCCGACCGGACCTTGCATTTTGACCCCGTCTTTAAAGTTGGTTTAGGTCGCTCCGACATCGCGCGCGCACCTGGCCTGGCTGCCTCTGTGGAGCGGCAAACGGCGGTACTTCTCGGAGGTGTCCTGTCAGGGGACATGGCCAGTGCGGCTGCCGGCAGCATGGACGTTGATTGATTTTACAGGAGCTGCACTGCATAGATGTTAAAAAGTTCGTATCGCCACAATCTGCCAGCTCAACCAGGTCGGCACATTCTGTCTGTGAACCTGATGCGGTGTATGGGACGTTTTGCGCGCGGCGTCAATAGGCCGAAACTTCGCCGAAACGTTGTTCTCGCATTGCTTCGTGCCAAAGTCTGTGCGCCATTGAGCCGGTTTGTTGGATTTGCGTTCGTATAATTAGGTGTAAATGAGCTGGTGGGTGTCCTCTTGCGAGGACTGACGAGGCGTTGTGATCTGTGTGATTGGCTACGCCGGGTACGGCCGTTTGCTCCCAGCCTGGTAGGACGTCGTCGAAGAGCCGAATATATTGTCGCCATGTTGAGCTTAGTCAGCTGTCTTTGCACGGGGCACGGCCGTTGCTCCTTAGTCCCTGCCTTGGTTCGTCGCTGTAGCGCGTTGCATGCAAGGCAGCTAGAGCTGTATTGTGCGTGGCAGGGGCGACGACACTGATTTTGGGTGAGGGAAGAATTTTTCTGGGAGTGCCCAGGGCAAAATGGAGCCCCTTGCAGGACAGGGGTGGGGGGGGGAGGGCTTTCTGGGCAGTGGCACATTTAAGAGCGCGCTTTTGGACATTCAAGGTCGATATGAGTAAATGTCAACGTTTGAAAAATATGGAGATACCCTTAAAAAACACGCAGGTTAGAAACATGCAACGTCGTTTGAAGCCACGGTGTAGTTTGCGCTTTCAGAGGGCTAAAATTGATCAGAAGTGCAACTTTTGAGCCAATCCCGCTCTCGTCAGGACACACTTTTGCAGGATTGTTAGAGTTGTCTGAGTGGTGCGTTTAAAAAATGTTTTGTGCCTGCTTAGTTACCTCTAAGTCGTGAAAGGCAGCAGTGTTTTTTTCAGAAGCGATTCCAGTTTTTCTTAGTCACTGATTAACCAGACGTTTTGCCGTTATGTGGGAGAGTGGCATCAAAGTAACTTTTGTATTGACATCTATCCTGTGAGCAGTCCAACTGAACGGCATAGTTGTTTAGGTATGGCCTGGACACTTCGGCTATTTGATTCATGCGGCATTTCCTCTTGCAGAGGGATGGGTCCGTGAATGTATGGGCTCATGTACGTCTGGCGTGCAGCATACAAAGCTAAAGAATCTTAACGGTGAAAGCTAAGCATGACTGTCTCGGGCAGATCCTTCGATCTTTTCAACAGCCCCCTTCCAAAAGAATGTCTATCCGAGTTCAGTAGGCTTCATTGCGCAAGGTGTACCAATTTTTTATTTGTTTCGCTTCCGGTGTACTTACCGAAAGTGTTTGGGCGATAGACAGCTTATTGGTTTGATGCTACCGTTCGTCCCTTGTCTCACAGCTTGAAATGTAACTAAATTTGTTTCAACATCCGCAAGATAGGTATGCCATGGATATTGTAAAACACACCTACAGCACTTTACTTTGTGAATTCATTAAACAGAGAACCCAACCTTTTTTGTACTTTTCACTTATTGTTACATCGGACGCGCACGATTCGATCGAAACCTGCCTTTTCCCAGGGCCTTTTTGGACCTTTCCCCAAGGCCTAGCTGCACCGTTGAAGTCCACAAGCCTCAAAGAGAGCGCTTTCAAAATGGCTGTCCTGTGCAAGAACCGGTAGCTACTAGCATCCCGAAACTGATATTTATCGAATCTTGAACCAACATGGAGGTGTTAAAGTCAGGCCAATGTCAGGATAGCGTAAACTTGGGCCATTGCAAGACTTAAGCGTAAGGTCAATATCAGGCTAGATCAAGATAAGGGCTTTGTGGTCCCACAAAGGGTCGCAAGATTCGAGAAAATGGCCTCGTAATCCAGATGTGGGCCTCCTGAACTGGACTCGTTGGTCTGCAAAGGGTAAGTGATTCATGAAAGCTAAACTCCCAATGCAGGGACGGGGTTGGTGTTCCAGGATAATTGCGTCGTTATTAATACAGGAGCCTCGTGATCGAGCAAATGAACCCCCTCATCCTGAAAAGGGCCTCCCGGTCAAAAGTAGGACATTCTGGTTCACAGGCGAAGCCTGCAGAGCAAAGGTGGCACTTGTACATTTTATGGTCGGAGCTGGCAAGCTTGGCGGGCATCCACAACTGATTGGGCCGTCGATGCTAGTGTCCGAGGTCCCTTTTTCGCTTGGTATTTAGGTTGAAGTCGCACCGCTGGGCGGCTGCACGTTACGCTATGGCGGATCATGATGAGTCACCATCTAGCCCGACCACGTCAATGTTATGGCGCAGGTTTGACCCACAGCAGGACACCTCTATCGTGATCTGGCGTGATACAAACAGGGTGCGAGTGGCATATTCAACAGGTCTTTCGTAATGGAACACTAAATATGACACGGGCTGTGAAAGAAGTCACCATGAATTTTTCTGGGGGTGAAGCGCCATAGTTCCGTCAGTGATGGTCACCATCTTCCGACGACTACAGCTGTACTTCGAAATCCCTCAGATTTTCTGTCTGCCTTTTTATCAACAATTTATGTTTACAGAGGATGCTTAGATAAAGCTAGACCTAGAAGACTTTGATCTCTCCTTACCACATAAAGCTTATAATTCCGAATTACTGGACTGTTACTGTCAGTGATGAATCCTCCAGACGGAGGCGTGAGAAGCAGATCCGATGAGGCCCGCTTTGTCGCAAGGCGGCGGACAATGTAGAGCAAGCGCACGTCAGGGCAGAAGGATTATCTCCATCAAGTGACAGGCAGAAGGATGATTCCCATCAAGTGACATGTTCGGGCGATGCCTTCGGCGCAAATGATACACATCGGGATGACAGGGTGAAACCAGACAATGAACATGGTGATATCGTCGCACAGCATGATATCGGCAAAACTACCAGTATGTGTCGCTGTTGTGGCACTCATGTGGCGATCGTGATAGAAAACAGTGTTTAGGAGGCAGTTATTACTCCCTGTTTTCGTCTGGAAGGAAATTCTCTTACTCGTATTAGAAATATATAGCCATGAAATAATATACGTTTTCCGTCTGACTTACTCTCTTTTTAAAACACAAAGCGTTACACCTTAGTCAGTGTTTTTGAGTCGCTTCCATAGAAATCTGTATTTTTTCTAGAGAAACTGGTCCAAGACGAGTGAGCTCCTGTGCTCACAGCAGCTTGACACACACCTTTTTACGCATACCTCCTTGCGAAAATTCTTGCCTTCATATGTATGGGCATAACAGATGAGAGCTCCATTATGTGTGCCTGTGAGCCATTCCGTCAACAACATGGCAAATTCCTGGAGAGAAGAGTTTTGAAAGGCAGTCCAGTTGTATCTAAGCGCAGCAAAGAAGTGAGGTGAGTATTGTAAGCAGATGGCAACATGATGTAATATCTGAGTTGGGCATGATATTTTATCCCCATCTGAGCGCGATCTCAGAGAGTCTGAGCGCGATGAAAAACACCCAGATTCAGCAGCGACCCTTCTTTGTTCATCATTGACTGAGGAAATGATATCGACCAGCCGCAGACGTCTGTGCACAGTCACAAGCGGTGCGCAGTCTACGGGCTGCGCTTACCACATGGTGTCATCCCGTGCTGCCGAGACGTCCCTGCGGGGTTCGACGTAGCGCACGTGGTCACGTCGCAGAAGCGGCTGCAGCTGTGTTTGGCTGTTGACTCGTCCAGGGACCGCTGGCTGGCCAGGTCAGGGCCCCTTCTGTTTACCGGGGGTGGCGCCTGCATTCTGTCAGCCGCTCGTCCCGCTGCCAGAGTCGGGGGTGACGAGCTCGGCAACACGGGTCCACCCACGGCGGGGGTACATGTCCACTGGCGGAGAGAGGGGGAGGGTTACAGATCCTCGGCGGAAAACGGGCACAGATCTGCCGGCAGAGCGGGCCAGATTCATCTGCGGAGAGCGGGGGCGGGGGATACAGATCCCTGGCGGAGAGGGGCACAGATCTGCCGGCAGAGCGGGCCAGGTTCATCTGCGGAGAGCGGGGGCGGGGGATACAGATCCCTGGC